CATATTGCTTAAATCATCTAGCAAACACCATCTCTACCACCATGCCAAACAAAAAAAAAAGAGAGAAGTTCTACCAACCAAAAAAAAAAAAACCCTTTGCCTAAAACCTAGAAAAACAAAAAAAAAATCTTAGCTTACTAAAACACAAAAAAAAAAAAAACCAAAACACACAAAAAGCAAAAATCACAGTCCCTGGAACAATAACCACATTGCCAAATAGAAAAAATAAAAAAAAAGTTTTGGCTAAAACTTTCAGCCTTGACCTTAACCATTTAAAATATTTTCTCACAAAAATAAGGTCAAATCGGGACTTAAAGGGGTTGAGAGGAGTTTTTGTGAGTTTTTGAAGTTTCTCGATGATTGACAACGATAGCTGGTGACGAAAGGTTGACGGTAAACATAGTGATAGACCATTGGAATCCGACTAGAGCGACAGTTAAAAATCATCTAGAGAGAAGCTCTCTTTTAAAAAAAGAGAGAAACTAGAGAAAAATGAAATAAAAAATTTTTGACCTTTTATAGTGTTACCTAATAAAAAAGATGAAAATGATGTCGTTTTAGGTAAAAAAGATCTGCTCGTGGACTCAGATTCGACCCAAGGTCTGTGTAACCCAACCCATGACCCTAGCCTTCTTTAGCCCTTAATTGGTATAAATGAATCGATTTTGAACTTGTTTTTGAATTGCCCCATGAACATTCGATCAGAGTTGATCATGAGCATTTTAGGTATTTTTATTATAATTTTTTTATTTTTGGCTCAATTTTTTATATATTTTTATTATTTAACTTCTTATTTTCTAGTATTTTTATTTTATTTTTTATAATTTTTTGTTAAAAATAAAATAAATGGCAGAAAATATAAAATATTTTTAATTGAAATTAATTTAAAATAATTGCTAAAAAATAAACTTATGAAAATTTGAACTTTTAATTTTCTCTTAAATAATTAAAAAAAAATAAAATAATAGTAATAAAAATTTTAATGAACAAGAATAAAGAAATATATAAAAAAGAAAAAATCGGTAATAATAAATAATAAAATAATACTAAAGTTACAAGTGGTGATTTTATTAAAAATATTCAAGCAAAGAAATTTTTTAAAATATTCTAAAAGTGTTAGAAATATTTTAAAATTTTTCAAGCATAAAAAAATATAATTACTAAGAATCAAGTCATAAGTGATTATTTTATTGAAAATATTCATACAAAGAAATTTTTTAAAATATTCTAAAAGTGTTAGAAATGTTTTAGAATTTTTCAAACATAAAAATAAACAAAATAATATTCACTTTGAATAAATAGCAAGAATTAAACAAATACATAAAAAAAGGAATAATAACAATAATAATAAAATCACAAGGTGTGATTCTTAAAAAAGTATTTTTCAAAATTTTATAAAAAATGTTAGTAAAATTATTTGAAAATTTTTTCAATAAAGAATAATAAAAATAAAAATAAAAATATTTAAATTATTAAGGTAAGTACAATTTTACAAGAATAAAAGACATGAGTAGTGACTTTATCAAAATTTCATAGACACGCAATTTTCTTAAAATATTCCAAAAGTATTGAAAATATTTTAGGAATTTAACCAATGAATTTTTTTACTTTAATAATAAAAATAAACAATAAATAAACGTTTTAAAGTAAATTAAAATTTTCATCGATAATAAAATTAAGGGAGAATCATCAGTGGTGATTTTTTTTCATTTTTTAAAAATTGTATCATATGGGTTTGTATAAAGGAATTATAACCTACTTTCAAAATATTAAAATAAATTCGATGACAAAATCTCTTTAAAAAGATAAGTAATTTTTTTGAATAATCTTGAAGTGAAAAATTTTCTTAAATTATACTGAGAGTATTAGAAATAACTTAAAAAATTTTCAATATTCAAATAATAAAAATAAAAAAACAAAAATGATGAAGTAATAAGTAAAAGACTATTTGAATGAGACAAATTTAGAATCATATAAAAGTAATTAGTATCGTCTTAGGATGGGTGCTGTGTAGATGTTATATTTTTTTTCACGTATAACTGTACTCCTGAATCAAAATTCAAATTCGTAAACCAAAAGATAGGATTAATAGATAATCGCACCTCAAAAAAAAAATTTGATGGCGAATTCTTGACTTTTTACATCTAGTGATCAAATCCTCGAATCGATACGATATAACAATCACTACATTCAGATCGATTTTTTGAGTGATCACTCCATGTCAAATACTTGGTAAAAGACTTATTCTACTTTCAGCGTGAGGCTTTCGTCTTCCATCAATAGCTGCCAAACTATCTTAGCAATTTAACAAAGAAAGGTGACTCTGACCATGTAAAATAAGAAATAAGCTTTTTATTTGATTCAAATCTAAACTACATGCCCAGCTAACTGCAACATTTAACTCAAAATTTAGCTACATGCATGTAATATTGTTATGCGGGTAACATGTTCAAACAACAAAAGGAAACCAGGCCTTTTTAGAACCATTTCAAGCCTGCATTTATTGAAATAAACTTTCCGGCCGTACCGCCATCAAACTTAGCTCATGTGTATTGCTTTTTCTGTAAGTCACAACTTGTGAATGGTTTCCATGTCACTTGCCTCCTTAAGGGTCCCTTTTTCAACATGATCCCACCACTTGAACAAGAAATAATCCACAAGAAGTCTGAACCAAGGTGACAGTTTCAAACCTTCCTCACCAGCATCAGCTTTGCGCAATAACTCTTTAAGTTGATCACTGTTAACATATTTAACATCTGCTACCTCATCGGGATTTGGATGAACATTAACATCTTGGACAATGAATAGGAGGTAATCAACTGCAACATAATAAGCGCATGGGGCAACAATTTAGGAGACAGGGATAGTAGTAAGTGATAGGTTCATGCAATAACCGGAAAACCAGGCCAAGAAATAGACAATCATAACACCAGCCATTGAAATGTATAATTTGTAAATATTAAGAAGTTTCCCCTTAATGCAGATCTCATACTTTTTGCAGTTAAGAAGACTAGGAAGAGGAAAATATTCAAACATACTGCTGAACGTTATGTAAACAGAGTGCAATTATTACGTTCATGCTCGCCCCACTTGCCATCAGAAGGTACCTTTTAGAGCTTGCGGCTCAGTGGGATGAACTGATCAACAGGAACATCTTCAGCAGGCATAGCCAGTTCATCCAAAAGCTTTCTTTGTGCAGCATTCCTCACCCTGTTAAGCAGATGATTAGAAAAGGAAACTGGAAAAAATATCAGCCCCAGTATGAGAGAAAATCCCGTAATAAATTGAGATAGGCATAAAAGGTATATACCAAGACAATTCTCTGAAATAGAAACAGATTCACGATACAAAAGATGGCTGCAACAGGTGTTTGTCCAAACGAGGAAATGTTACCTTTGTTGCAGATCGTTCCTGCCCAAAAACCAGAAAAAAAGGCATGTGAACAAAAAATCACCTATTTACAAAGCATAGCCACGATGCTAACAAACATATATTTTGAATTAGCATAAACAAGAAAATAATGTCACGACATTCAAAGTTGATAAATGCAATGTATTCAATGTCATATCCTGTACCAAAAAAGAAATTACGATTAGAGGGAATGTTGAAGAATAAGATTTAGATAATGAAAGGTGCTAGATCGCTTGGCCAAGACCTGGAACACTCCTACTTTCCCACTTTTTTTTTCTTCTTTTATTCCTCTTTTTCTGTCCACCATTCCATAAAATTAAAATCATTTACTCCTATAGAATTCAACTTCATAGTGGTCAGTCTGTCCAACATAGAACTCCTCTTACTGATTTTCCTTTTTAACTTGGGCCTAGAACTCATTAAGGTTCTTCAAAGGATAAAAATGGAAAATAAAGAAAATGAAGTGAATAAATATGCTCAATGATATAACTTGTTTGTTTCATTTGTCATTTTAATGCCAAAGTTTGAAAATAATAAAATTCTAAATATCTCAAGTATCTATGCTTTTATTATGTTACCTGAATGAGCAACTCATATTGTGTTAAACAAAAATACACTGAACGCTCTACGCAGCATATTTCCAGTTGGAATCTTTTCCCACAAATGACTTGTAAATTTTCAAACCAATGTTAAAAGTGCAGAAATGAGGGCAACAGACTATAGACATTCAGATGTCACATATATTCTCACGAGGAGCAGCATGTGGAGAGCTGATAGGTACGGCTAAATAGCCTTTAATTCCCGCAGACGTAAAACACAGACTATAATATTCAATTAAATATAATTGAAACATATTTGAGTTGAAATTATTTTATTTGGTTAAAAATCGTTAATTTTACTAAAATTCAAATATTATTTTGTTTGAGAATATCAAAATAATCATGCCTATCTATTACAATAGTTATATAAATTAATGATTTTAATGTTATTTGAAATAATAATTTGTAAATATTAATAATATTTTATTTACTTCACAATAAAATGTAATAAAATTATTAATTAAAAATATATTTATTGATACGTAAATTAATTTTTACAGTATAAATTATGTAAAAAATATTTAAATTAAAAAAATAAAATTAATTTATTAAAAATCAAAAGATTATATATATTAAAAAATAAAAAAATCACACAAATTATTTTTGAACTTTTTATATTGAATATTAATTTCAAAATATAAAAATTTATAATATAAAATAATTACAATTAATTTAATTTTTTTATTCACATTTAAGTGAGTAATTCTAATTTTTTTTATTTTATATATTATTTCACTTCGATGATAAAAATTTTTCACTCTTTCGAATAAAAATTAGATTAACTCCCAAGATAATAATTTACTCATTATCCAATAATACTGTCACCATTAAATAAGTGCCAAATACAGTGAACTAATCACCGTAAGCAAATCACTATAATTTTTTTTGACTAATCTAACGATTTGCTCTACTTTGAGAGTAGACTTTGTTCTACCATCCATAGCTGCCTAACAACCTTAACAATTTAACAAAGAAAGGTGAATCTGACGATGGAAATCAAGAAATAAGCTTTTTATTAGATTCAAATCTAAAGTATATGCCCAGGCAACTGCAACATTTAACTCAAAATTTAGCAACATGTAATATTGTCATGTGGGTAACAACAAATTCAAACAACATAAAGAAACCAGGCATTTTTAGAACAATTTCCAGGCTGCATTTACTGGAATAAACTTTCCGATGGTACCACCCATCAAACTTTGCTCATGTGTTTGCTTTTTCTGTAAGTCACAACTTGTGAATGGTTTCCATGTCACTTGCCTCCTTAAGGGTCCCCTTTTCAACATGATCCCACCACTTGAACAAGAAATTATCCACAACAAGTCTGAACCAAGGCGACAGTTTCAAACCTTCCTCACCAGCATCAGCTTTACGCAATAACTCTTTCAGTTGATCACGATTAACATATTTAACATCTGCTACCTCATCGGCATTTGGATGAACATTAACATCTCGGACAATGAATAGGAGGTAATCAACTGCAACATAACAAATGCATACGGCAACAGTTTAGGAGACAGGGACAGTAGTAAGTGATAGGTTCATGCAATAACCGAAAAGCCAGGCCAAGAAATAGACATGAGACAATCATAACAGCAGCCACTGAAACGTATAATTTGTAAATTGTAAGAACTTTCCCGTAATGCAGATCTTATTTGCAATTAAAAAGACTTGGAAGGGGAAAATATTCAAACATAATGCTGAACGTTATGTAAACAGAGTGGAATTATTACGTTCATGCTCGCCCCACTTGCCATCAGAAGGTGCCTTGTAAAGCAGGCGGCTCAGCGGGATGAACTGATCGACAGGCACATCTTCAGCAGGAATACCCAACTCATCCAAAAGCTTCCTTTGTGCAGCATTCCTCACCCCTGGTAAGCAGATGATTAGAAAAGGAAATGGGAAAAAATATCAGCCACAGTAAGAGAGAAAATCCCGTAATAAATTGAGATAGGCATAAAAGGTCTATACCAAGGCAATTCTCTAAAATAAGCTCAGTTTCACGGTACAAAGGATGGCTGCAACAGGTGTTTGTCCACACAAGAGGAAATGTTACCTTTGTTGCAGATCGTTGCTGCCCAAAAACCAGACAGAAAAGGCATGTGAACAAAACATCACCTATTTACAATGCATAACTATTGCACAAATGCTACAATGCTAGCAAACATATATTTTGAATTGGCACAAACAATTAATTAATTTCACATCGTTCAAAGTTGATACATGCAATGTATTCAATGCCATATCAGGTACCAAAAAAGAAATTACAATTAGAGGGAATGTTAAAGGATAAGATTTAGATAATGCAAGGTGCTAGCTAGCTTGGCCAAGACCTGGAACACTCCTACTTTCCCACTTTTTTTTTTTTTTATCTTTTACTACTCTTTTTCTGTCAACCATCCCATAAAATTAAAAGCAATTACTCCTATAGAATTCAACTTCATAAGGGTCAATCTGTCCAACATAGAACTACTCTTACTGATTTTCACTTTTTACTTGGGGTCTAGGACTCATAAGGTTCTTCAAAGGATAAAAGTGGACAGAGATTCAGACACCAAAATCTTAATTTCCAAAATAAGGAAAATGAGGTCAATAAATATGCTCAATGATATAAGTTGTTTGTTTCATTTGTCATTGTAATGTCAAAGTTTGAAAATAATAAAATTCTAAATATCTCAAGTATCTATACTTTTATTATGTTACCTGAAGGAGCAACTCATATTTTGTGTTAAACAAAAATACACTGAATGCTCTATGCAGCATATTTCCAGTTAGAATCTTTTCCCACAAATGACCTGTAAATTTTCAAACCAATGTTAAAAGTGCAGAAATGAAAGGCAACAGACTAAAGACATTCAGATATCACATATATTCCCATAAAGAGCAGCATGCAGAGAACTGATAGCTAAAGCTAAATAGCCTCTAATTCCCATAATGCAGATGTAAAACATAAACTATAAGATCCAAAACCCAGTCAGAGATTCAAGCTCTTCTTTGATCTTGTTCTTAAATGCCAACAGAATAAAGGACTCACATGTACATGAAGTGCTTCTTTTTATAGCCTAATGAAGAAGCTCGCTGAGTTTATGCAAAAAAAATTCTATTTAACAATTTGGTGTTAAAGTTTTTTTTTCAAATGCTAAAAAAAAGACTTAAAAATCACTTAAGTTTTAAGTATCAAAGCAGGGGTACATGCAGTCATGCCCAATTTAGTGTTTGTATACGAAACTTGTATCATAGGAGAAATGTGAAATTAGTGAAATATTTGGGACACAATAAAACCATGCAACTTCTAGATATCCTTCTAATCCTACAAAATCTCCAGTTATTGGGAGAGTTCTTTTCTAAACAATTCTTATGAAAGTCAGAAAGGAATTGTACCAGCTTCAGCAGTGAGGTAAGTAATTTATAAAAGGCATAAGTGCCCCAGTAATACTAGGCCTAACCATATATCGAAGAACTTAAGATGCCTAATATTACGTTTTGCACTGCATCATCACACCCAAATGAATGAGGATAAACTCTGAACACCTTAATCTTATAAATATATAAAATGCTTGTGTGTGAACACAGTTGCACAACAGATCACAAACTAACCAATCTTGGCTAATTTGAGATGAAAGCACCTTTGTTATCACTTAAGACCACCACAGAAGCTAGAGCTCAGTGGTGCAAATGCTAAAAGTGTGCCAAACAAGAAAAGAAATTCAGAGGACATACATATAAATAATAGCTAGATGAAGAAAATGTCATAATAAGTTAACAACTACTGTTATGAACGAAAGGTAAATATACTAGCTATTTGGTCATCACGATAGAAAGAATTTCTTTCCATTATCAGATCACTAGCTATTTGGTCATCATGATAGAAAGAATTTTTTTCCATTATCAGATCTAGTCATATGCAGTGAAAATGAAAGCATTGGAATTTAGAAAAATAGGTAACCAAAGAGCACAAACAGTTTAGAAAAGGAAAGGAAAAAAATAATGCAAAGCAACAGCGTTAAGCCCAGGGAAATAAGCATTTTCTTACAGTTGTACTTGGACTCATGGCCAACAACATTATCACTCTCGTCCACTAAAATACATCTATAAAAGATTGGAACAAAGGCCAGTAAGTTAGTTGCAATATGAGATTGATATTAAAATGCTGAAGCACATGTTAATAGTAAATACTAGATGAGTTACACTTCAAAAGAGCAAGAACAATATAATAACCTCACAAAATGTAAAATCAAAAGGCAGATGCTTTCATGACAATACAGTCAAATAACAAATTGTAAGTTCAAAATCTTTTAAACCTTGATTCATGTCACAGAAAATATATAGTAATGGTAATAGAAAGAATGAACCTATGCAATCAACAGATATACATATACCATAATTAGCAAATTACTACAATCTGACAATTCACATAACACTATCACATGCATCCTTTCAATTCAATCCAGGTAAAGAATATATATATCACATGATGAACTGCAGTAAAAAAAAAATAATTCACTCATGTTAATTAAAATATGTCAAGACTAAGAAAATAAACTGCCACATTTTCCCTCTTTTTCAACATTTGCAGTTACATTTTTCTCTTTTTGTGTTTCTTAAGATAACATTTCATTGCTTACTTTGCATAAGGGTTCAAATCAAGAAGAGTTTTGACATATAACCAAAATAGATAACAGCATGTAAGCCAAGATGCTTTTGTAATTAGGTTTCATAGCTACCAATCAAAATTGATAGCATTAAAGATAATAAAAATAAGTATGAAGCTAGCACTGCTATCCTACTTATTCTTCACAGTTGACTAAGCTAGCCGGCAGAATAAGATCCTCCAGTAATAAGAATAAAATCATGGTAATAGTGATTTATATTTCTTTAGAAATTCTACTTCCACCTGCCATTTTTTTACAAGTATTGAAATAATTTTCAGCAAAGAATATAGAAAGATGGCTCAAAATTCAAAAACCTCTAATAGTTTCATCTGGCTACTAAGTGCATGAAGGAAAAGGGAAATTATTTTCTTGGTCAGGAAAGAAGTTCCCAATCATTTTGCCCACAAATTATTCAGGAAAGTAGACCGCGGCATGAAGAACAAATAGAAAATTAACCGTATAAATGGAAAGTGCCCTGCTGTTAGAGGAGTTACATATGCTTCCAGTTATAGAAATCATCATGTAGATATAATTAACAACTTTTACTCAAAATCTACTTTTTTAAATCATACCTATATACAATACACATAGCTATATATGTATACGTATACTGTATAGTTCTACGTAAAATATACATGTACTAATAGAAAACAAAAATAAATTTAAACAAGAAAAGAAAGAAAATTTTCTAGGTATCAATCAAACTTTATTAAACAAGCTTAAATTTCTGTTATATTACTTGTAAAATGATAACAGAATTTTATAACAGAAAAGAAGGAATCTAATAATATAAGTTGACTTTAGCTAGAACTTTCATTCCTTTCAATTTTCCCTTCATTTTTTCAGAAACCAAAACAGAGCATCAGAGCAAATCCAGATCACTACTTTAACAAAAAATATATAATGGCAAAATTGGTAAAAATGTAAATGAAACGAAAAGGGGAAGTGTGGAATCGGAAAAACTTACTCATCCTCGAACATGAGGCGTCTTTGGACAGCGTCCATGCCAGCGTCGGGAGCGTCAGACATGGTAGCGGCAGTGGCTTGGGCTCGAAAGGACAAAGATGCCCCCAAGGAAGCGAGAGAGGCGTGGGGGAACCGACGAGGAGGAAGGGCAAAAGAGGAAGAGAGGAAAAGATGGGGCTTTGGAGAAGAGGAAAAGGAAGCTAATGACCGAGAAAGTGCGTGAGCAGAAGTTGTATTTAAAATCAAAGACATTGGGTCTCTGGTCTCTGCACACGGCAATGATGGCATCGGCCAATTTGTTGTTCAATGTATGCGATATATATTTTATTCAATTCTTTATTATTTTTATTTATTATTTATTATTTTTTTTAATAAATTTTTTAACTTTTTTTTTTCAGTTAAAATATGATAAAAGAATCTTCACACTTGTACCACCGTCTGCCATTTTATCAGTGGATAAAATTTAATTTTTACATACATTTTATTCAATTTATTCAATATTTTTCACAATCGTTTTTAGATTTACAATGAATTTGGTTTGAAATTTAACTCGTAAAAAGACATTATCAAATGCACTTGCCGACAAAATTAATGAGATGATATAGTAATATATATATATATATGTGATAGTTTTTTTTATCAACGAATAAAAAAATGAACTCTTAACAAAATAGATTATTAATTTACATATTTATCATGAAATTTTTTATACTTCATTAATGTGAGATTGTGAGTAAAGTTTAAATAAAACTACTAAATATGATCAATAATTTAAAATTAATATTTGTTTTTTTTTTGTTTTCTTATTTTTTATTTAATTATATAAATTAATTAAATTATATTTTAAATTTATAAACAAAATTAATTAGCTCTTGAATAATTTAATTTTGGATGGAGTAATAAATATATAAACCGACAAAAACAAGAATAAAACTCTTTGGAGTCTGAAATTTAAGTTTTGATAAATTTGAAAAGTCGTAAACACGTGAATAAGCGGAAAAGATAGTCCATTGGGCAAAATTTTGTTTGTTGGTAAACGTTTTGGGTCTGGGTTAATTTTGAATAATTAAATGTAAAGATCTCCAATAATAAGTAGTGTTGACAATTTAATTTGTTTTTGATGAGTTTTAATTTAATCTAATTTTATGATATTAAATTTTTTTTTAAATTTAAATTTTGAATCGGATCAAATTCAAATTTTAAGTAAATTTTACTCGACTCGATATTATATAAAAAATTATTTTTTAATTAATTATTTAATTTTTTATTTATATATATTTATATAATGATATTTTAAAATATTTATATTTAAAAAATAATATTTTATTTATTCGAATCAAATCAAATATGATTTATATAATATTAAATTAGATTAAATTTAAATATAAAAAAATAAAAAAAATTTAAATAAAATTAAATTTAAATTTAATAATACATAAAATCGAATCAAATCAAAACCAATAAAATCCGATCCGCTGTCAAAACTGATAATAAGTCGAAGCGTGGAATAAGCTGGGCCTCCTACTTTGCTGTTAATTACGAAGACGAGAACATAAAAATTGAGATGATGTCTATTTTTGAAGGATTCTGACATTTGTCAAACGAAAGTAAAAAACAAGAAATATATGTGCATCTTTTGCATAGAAAAATAAATAAATAAATAAATAAATTGCGTCCACAACATATCAGAGACAAAAATCATTTTCTATTTTGATTTTTGGCCTGATATATTAGATGAAGGTATCACCACCCCAACCTTTTGTCGACCGTGGAGTGTTGAACCAGAAAATTCTCGTTGAAAACGACCAAGATTGCATAACACAACCCAAGCACGTGCATTAGTTAATTCTTTCTCCCTCCCTCAGATTGCTTATTTTCTTTTTATTTTAATTTCGAACTGCTATATATTACCAAAATATATGGTTTTAAAAGTATTTTAAGTGTTTCTCTACAAACACAAAAGCTTAAAATTATGTAATTTGTATTTGGGTTGAAAAAAAATTATATTCAAAAGTTGATAAATAAAACTAATGTGAGTAAAATTTTTTATACTTCATTAATGTGAGTAAAATTTAAATAAAACTACTAAATATGATCAATAATTTAAAATTAATATTTGGTTTTTTGTTTTTGTTTTCTTATTTTTATTTAATTATATAAATTAATTAAATTATATTTTAAATTTATAAACAAAATTAATTAGCTCTTGAATAATTTAATTTTGGATGGAGTAACAAATATAGAAGCCGACAAAAACAAGAATAAAACTCTTTGGAGTCTGAAATTTAAGTTTTTGATAAATTTGAAAAGTCGTAAACACGTGAATAAGTGGAAAAGATAGTCCATTGGGCAAAATTTTGTTTGTTGGTAAACGTTTTGGGTTTGGGTTAATTTTGAATAATTAAATGTAAAGATATCCGATAATAAGTAGGGATGATAAATCAATTCGTTTTCGATGAATTTTGATTTGATCTGATTTTATGAGATTGATTTTTTTTAAAATTTAAGTTTTGAGTTGGGTCGAGTTGGATCAGATTCGAGTTTTAAGTAAATTTTACTCGATCCGATATTATATAAAAAAATTATATTTTAATTAATTATTTAATTTTTTATTTATATATATTTATATAATAATATTTTTAAATATTTATATTTAAAAAATAATATTTTATTTATTTGAGTCAAATCGAATACGATTTATATAATTTTAAATCGGAATCAAATTCAAATATAAAAAAATAAAAAAAATTTCAAGTAAAATTAAATTTAAATTTAATAACGCATAAAATCAAATCGAATCGAGATGAATAAAATCCGTCTTGAACTGATCTGATATCAACCCTAATAATAAGTCGAAGCGTGGAATAAGCTGGGCCTCCTACTTTGCTGTTAATTACGAAGACGAGAATATAAAAATTGAGATGATGTCTATTTTTGAAGGATTCTGACATTTGTCAAACGAAAGTAAAAAACAAGAAATACATGTGCATCTTTTTCATAGAAAAATAAATAAATAAATAAATAAATAAATTGCGTCCATAACATATCAGAGACAAAAATCATTTTCTACATTGATTTTTGGCCTGATATATTAGATGAAGGTATCACCACCCCCCAACCTTTTGTCGACAGTGGAGTGTTGAACCAGAAAATTCTCGTTGAAAACGACCAAGATTGCATAGCACAACCCAAGCACGTGCATTAGTTAACTCTTTCTCCCTCCCTCAGATTGCTTATTTTCTTTTTATTTTAATTTCAAACTGCTATATATTACCAAAATATATAGTTTTAAAAGTATTTTAAGTGTTTCTCTACAAACACAAAAGCTTAAAATTATGCAATTTGTATTTGGGTTGAAAAAAATTATATTTAAAAGTTGATAAAAATCATGTGTCAATTTATTCAAATATGGTTTCAAGAGTTTTTAAAGAGATATTCTTTCTAAATTTGTTGAATTATAAGTGTGAGTAGTACATCAAGTCAAAGTATAACAGTGTTGTCCATTTTAAAAAATTATACATTAATTATCGAATTAAATATCCATATATTTTTTGCAATTACGCTTATAATGAAGTATATTTTTATATAATATAATAAATAATAAATTATTATATCATAATTAAGTTATAATTAATAAATAATCAATTAATAAATTATAAGATAATCAAATAACTAAATCTACATGCAACAATATTTAACTCTAAAATTTTAAGATTATATTTTATGCTTAAGATATAAATAAGATAATATGATAATTATTATATATTATGTTTTATTATATATCTTGAAAGAGATAAAATTACAAGGAAGATTATTATGCTCTTGATATAGGATGATTTAATTCTCTTAAAGTAAATATGATTATTTTTAATTTATGAGATTAAACTTATATATCTTATTATACCCTTAAAAATTATATCAATAATTTAAATTATATAAATTTTGAGGAAGAAAAATTTTGACCAATAAATAAATTATCTTATTTTAATCATTGCACACATCAAACATAAGATAAGATAACATTATTTAATCTAATCATATTCATAATATCATCTTATCTTGCTTTATCATAATCTTGTATACCAAACGTGATCTAAGATTATGTTTAGTGCATAGTATGATGGATAAAATATGATGATAATAATTCTATATTATGTTTGGTATGTATCCAAAGAAATGGATAGTATTATTAATTATTCTCTTGGTATAAGATAGTTCGATCCTCTCAAAGTTGAGATAATTATTTTTAATCTATGAATTGAACTTACATGTTTTATTATAGCATTAAAAATTATATCAATAATTTAAATTATATAAACTTTGAAGAAGGATAATTTTATCCAATAAATCACTTATTATAATTCTTGCACATATCAAACACAAGATGATGATTATTTAATTTAATCTTATTCATAATATCATCTTATCCTATCCTATCATAATCTTATAGACCAAATACATCCTAAGATCATGTTTGATGCATAAGACAATGGATAGAATAAGATGATAATCATCCTATATCATGTTTGGTTTGTATCTAAGGCATAGGATGATTCGATCATCTGAAAATAGAAAAAATATTTTTAATTCATGGGATTGAACTTATGTATCTTATTATATCTTTAAAAATTACATTAATAATTTAAATTGTATAAACTTTAAGGAAGGATAATTTTGACCAATAAATAAATTATCTTATGTTAATCTTTACATACATCAAACACAAGATAATATGATATTATTTAATCTAATACTAATCATAATATGATTCTATCTTATATTATCATAATCTTATATATCAAATACATCCCAAGATTTTAAAATCTCCTTCTTATTATTAAGCCAAGACCTCATTAGAGTAATAATTTTGTCCTTAATTAATAATGATGTAGGTGAGATTTATATTCATCAATTGGAAAAGGTAGGTTATTCAAGACAAGAACACAAGTAAGAAAATTGTATGTGTACATGTTTGTATATATAAATGTTATATATGTGTATATTCAGGGACAAATTTAGATATGGAATTGTAGGAGCAGCTGCCCCACTAAGATACTAAGGTAGTGTTTAATTTCAAAAAATAGAACCATTTTCTTAGAAAATGAAAAATATAAGTGAAAATGTATTTGATAATTGAAAATAAAAATAGGTTGAAATATATAAAAAAAAAAAAGAAGATGTTTTCAATTATGAAAACAAAGAATGTACATTACTTTTTTCTTTGTGTTTTACAAGTTATCATATTTGAACACTTTTTAATGTCATTAACAAATAAATATATGTTATATTTATTATTAGATGGCATTAATAATAATATCAT